CCCCCCGATCGTAATTGCGTCCAGTCACGTCGCAAAATGTCACGTTGCGCAATAAACGTGAAACAGGAAGTGGGTGAATGCGTGCGAAGAAGGTACACGCGTGGTGCACGGTCGAAAGATAGGAAAATGACGGTAAATGGAGGGTGAAACGATCGCCATTGTCGACAGTCGACCAGGGCGAGTGCTCGGCCGACACTTGGGGGTGAATTACGTCTCCGAGCTATTTCCGTCTTTTTCCAACCCGCCTTCGCCCTCCCGAAGCCGCTTTGTGCATTTAGAATCGTATTACCGGAGCCAGAGCCTTTCTCGAGATTTCACAAACGACCCTACGCGTGGCCGCGGTAAATGTGTAACACGGTTATTCCTTTTCGCGTTGCCTTCCATCTCGCCGGCACGTCCGCGGCCGCGACAATGACGGCTACTTTGCCACTTTTACCATCGCCCCCGCGACCAAGTAGACGGTTGCCGTTTCCGACGTGACGGCAAGGCGCTATGCGAAAATGGACTTTGAATTGCCCGATTATTACCGTCCGCGGAAGTCACTTAGGGTACTTGCAAAAAGTTATGCCCAAAAAGAATCGTTCCTGAAAAGAAAAGTTTTATAAGTCGAATTTGCGCTTTTCTCATTTTATTTTCCCAAGTCGTCAAGACGCTCATACTTTCTCAAATGTCAAATCTACTATGGAATTATGTCACTTAGCGACGAAAACCTTTTTAAAAGAAATTCCTGGCGACGGTTATTTGATGAATATATTAATTCGAGTTTATTCAGAAAAATATTTGATGTCAAGCAAAACTAGACATTACTCGATTTTCCACAGATGCCGGACTAACCGAGGAGGAAGTAGTGCTCGCGAAAACTATAGCCGAATCTCCGGATAGCGAGCAGAGCGTGCAGAAAGCGGCGCTGGTATTGAGATTGCGAGAGGGCATCGGTTCGCTGGGCAGGATCCTGAAGACAATCGAAAATTTCAAGGGCGCGATCACCCATGTTGAGTCACGGCCTTCGAAGAAGGAGGGTCTGCAATTCGAGGTCTTGGTCAAGATTGACATGAGCAGGCAGAGCCTGCTGCAACTGATTAGAAATCTACGACAGAGCTCGGCCTTGGACGGCGTGACCCTGCTCGCCGACAATTCCGTCAGCATCAAAGATCCCTGGTTTCCCCGTCACGCCTCCGATCTCGACAATTGCAACCACCTGATGACCAAGTACGAGCCGGATCTCGACATGAATCACCCGGGCTTCGCTGACAAAGAGTACCGCGCCCGTCGCAAGGTCATTGCCGAAATCGCTTTCGCTTACAAGTACGGTGATCCGATACCCTCCATTCCTTACACCGAGACGGAGAACGAGACTTGGTCGCGCGTCTTCAACACCGTGCTGGACCTGGTGCCGAAACACGCCTGCGTGGAGTACCAGAGGGTCTTCAAGAAATTGCAAGAGGAGAGGATCTTCGAGTCTCACCGCATACCGCAGTTGCAGGAAGTCAGCGATTTCTTGAAGAAGAGCACGGGATTCACTCTTCGACCGGCCGCCGGTCTCCTGACAGCGCGAGACTTCTTGTCCAGCCTTGCCTTCAGAATATTCCAGAGCACTCAATATGTCCGTCACATCAACAGTCCGTATCACACTCCCGAACCGTAAGTGCTTTCAATTTTTACTTTCGTTAGTTAATTTGAATTTATCGAGACAAAAATTAGTTATCGGAAGTTTCTTTCAAAGATTCTCTAACGTTATTATATAGAGACTATTTTAAAAGACGGATAAAGATCAAATATATTACATGTGCCGTTCGCAAATTATTTTGTCCAAAAAATTTTACGATTCGGTTCAAGCTGCAGTAAAGCATATATAGACGCGCGCGAAAAGAACATACTGTACATAACATACCAGGACACAATGAGACTCAATAAAATATCGTATCGAAGGCATAAAGCTGCAACGCATCTTTACGTAAAAATCGGGCATTGTAAAGGTCGCTCCGGCCTCGCATCACCGCTGTCCCTTCGTGTCAAAACTGCAAAGCAATCGATATTGCGTTATGACGGGAGCCTGCACCCGCGGTGGTACATAGAGAACGATGATAATAGAATTACCGCGCCTCTCTAAGCTCGTAATGGAACTCTAATTGGCTTTTAACGACACGATGGCGTTGATAACTCAGTTCCACAGTTACGAACTCGTTTCTGCGCACAGCGATTCACGTCACAGTACGATTTCCAAGGTGCGCAGATAGCTTTGCAGATTGTAAGAAAGGAATGGCTTCTTGAGTTCGCGCCATTTATCTGATGACGTATCTTAATTAATTTACATGTTCAATTTATTTAATGTTAAAATACTACTGATGTAAAATTGAGCAATACTACAGATTGCAACGATTTAATTAAGGGCCTTCATATTTAAAATTAACTATGTGATCATTTTAAGCACAAAACGAATAAATAGAACGGACAGATTTAAGAATGCGAATTTTAAGACGAGCACGTGGCATCACTCTTTACGTTCGCTTGGTTCTATTTGCAGAGATTGCATTCATGAGCTTTTGGGTCATATGCCGCTTTTGGCCGATCCCAGTTTCGCTCAATTTTCGCAAGAAATCGGATTGGCGTCTCTCGGCGCTTCGGACGAAGAAATCGAGAAGCTATCAACTATCTACTGGTTCACGGTGGAATTCGGTCTTTGTAAGGAAGGTCCTGAAGTCAAGGCTTACGGTGCTGGCTTGTTGTCAGCCTACGGTGAACTGTTGCACGCATTGAGCGATAAGTGCGAGCATCGAGCTTTCGATCCATCTATTACCGCTCTTCAGAAGTATCAAGATCAAGAATACCAGCCGATATATTATGTGGCCGAGAGTTTTGAGGACGCCAAGGAGAAATTCCGTCGTTGGGTAAGCACGAAAACGCTAAACCGTTTCGACCGAATGCTTTGTGCAGTATCAATTCGTGAAATAGATTTCAATTTCTTTTCTTAAAATTTGCCAAGGCTTTCAATTTTCGCTTATATGTGTTTATTGATAAATTCGAAAATAATGAGATCGATGTAGAACAATCTTCTTCTTTTATGTTCTTAATATCTTCAATATTTTTAATTTCTGTTTATTACAAATAAAGAATAATAACTTATTCACTTCCGCTATTTCTTACTTTGGTAGATGAGCTTAGTCACGAACCTCGGTTTCTCTTGCAGGTGGCCACTATGAGTCGGCCATTCGAGGTCAGGTTCAATCCGCATACGCAACGCGTCGAAGTCCTCGACAGTGTTGATAGACTGGAGGGTATGCTTTCCCAACTCAATACCGAGATGACCCACCTTACGAATGCCGTCAACAAAATGAAAGCGAGACAGTTCGCGTAAGAATGAGAACTTCCGCGTCTTCGGTTATTCCTTTTGCGGATCATCGAACCTCGAAATCGATCATGCACTTAGCCAGTTAAATGATCTTTGACAATAATTTTCGACAATCTTCGAAACAATAACTGATTATTATACTATTAAAAAAAAAGTTTTTTCTAGTAATTGTAACAGAGCTTAATGAGTCTTTTAATGATATATTTCGAAAGCGTGTTAATTCAATCCAGTAATTTTAAGCAAATTATGAGATAATTGCGAAAGATTTGTTTTAAATAAGGAAAAACGTCTTTAATTGCATCGAAGCTTCCAGGTTCGATGGAGCACATCATCTCGTCATCGATATCATTTTTATCGCGTGATTCGTTTCTCATTTCGTGTATAAAGTCGTTCATTTGCGTTGTTATACGCGTGTACGTGCGCTGATTATGCATATAAAGAGTGAGTCTTTGATGCACGCGAACGTCAGTTCATATTGCGTATCTACAGTGTTACGTTCCGTCAAGATAATCATACAGCTTAATTGAATAATGAATCATGTTACGAATTAATTAAGTAATTCGTGACAACCCAATCTCTTGCCCTCGAGTATTTTTACGAGCGCCAAATGAGCGGAAATACATATCACAAGGTTATCTTTGAATAAATAGAATAGCATTATCTCTTTTTTTTTATCAATAGCCGCGTGTACACGCGTATGAGAAATTCTCACATTACTATTATATTTTATTATTAATTAATTATTAATTATTATTTCGTTTTATTCTATTATATAGTATTGTATTATTATGTTAGTTATTATTATGTGCATGAATTTTGTTTAATCCAGCAAACACTGGCATCTGCCCCCGATAATTCGTAGTGCAGTCTACATTTAGCAAAAGTTATAACGCGAGATGGTTGTCGCTATAAGAGTTATATCGTAGTCTTGTAGAACTTGTAGAACTCGCGGGATTGATTCCTCATCGCGATAGAATTTAATTGTTGTGCAAACGTGAGCGTACAGTATTCTCTTCTTTCGTGAATTAATTGTTATACACGGCGGCTGTTTGAAGTCGTTGGGCAGTTCTCCCGGACTGGCCGATAAGAAGCAAGCGTTTAAGCGAATGTTTCTTATTGGCTTGTCGCAACTTAATTTAGAATTTACCTGCATCGAATTAAACAGTATTTCAGTAAAGAATATGTTTAAGAATATGTTAAAGTTGTGTTCTTACTTAGATAGTCCGCATCCGGGCGCTGTATCGCCTCTTGTACGATCGAACTCTTTGGAGGGCTACAAGTCCCCCAAACAGTTCCGGAAGTTCACGAAGCGATATTGCTTTAGAGAGTTTACTATTTAGCGAGTAGTGCGAGTCCCCGCTTGCGCACGCTATGCTATCCCTATTATCGCACCGATCCGTATGAAATATTTTTCTCGTACGTGTACGTGCGCGTAACCCACCCTCGTTAGATTGTAGTAAAGACGGTCAATACAATATGACATGTTTCCTTTGTATTATATTGTAAAGTACTCAGAGCATAATAAAAAATTAAGATATGAATCTTACACGTGTTATTATCTTTTTACATGCAACACTGTCTGTATAATATAATCACGAAGTGAAAATCCCGTAAAAATGCGTGATATAACTATTGGCGTAATTGCCTTATCGCCATATTAGCCATTACGATCATCAAGCATAATTAAGGCGTAAGCTGGACATAATTGGAAGTGCTTGAAACGAAGTGAAATTGCTTCTTACGTTGTGACGGACATCGCTTCAGAATGTGCGTGTGTCACTCATGTTCTCTTTCTTCCTTTTTCCCTTTCATCCGGAACACTTTGATTAATGATTGGAATACATAATAATGAAAAATAATACTTAAACAGATGCATCTAACGTCTACCGTGAAATCTATAGTTCTCACCGTCGCGTTTGCTACGCAATGCGTATACGCCAAATCGCGGAATGGACACGGTAAGAGAAAGTAATGTCCTCTCTCGTCATCCAAGTGACTTCCCTCTTTACTCATCAGATTATTTCGACGAGAAATTCTGTGTGCTTGAGTGGATCACCTACCTGAAGCGACTCTCGTTAATCGTGTTAATGTTGTATGGCGTCGTTTTGTATTACGTGCCCAAGTCACGTTCATGTAAGTAGAAAAAGGAAAAAATGTCAAGTGAAAGGAGAGAAAGAGAGAAAGAGAGAGAGAGAGAGAGAGAGAGAAAGAGAGAGAGAGAGCAGGAGAGAGAACTTTTATTATCGCTTGTAATTTTTGATTGACTTTCGGACAAAATTAAGATTTTATGTAATACCATATTACGAGAACATTTTCTAACCGTAAACTTCGGCAATTTATCGTTAAAATATTATAATACCAATATTGTTTGTATATTTTTAATAATAGTAAAATCCACTTCAAATATTTTAATATATTTTGTTTTGAGCCGAAAAGAAAGTTTTTTCAGGATTTTCAGAATTACTTCTGTTAAGTTTTTCTCATTCATTAAGCCATACAGAGAAATAAATAAAATAAATTGTCTGAATTCACGCGGCTGCTATAGATCCAAATTCTTATAATATGTAAATAAATTATTATTATTATAAATAAATTATATTATATATGTTTTTTTTTAGACGCTCGAATAGCATGTTGCATTTTGATAGATACTGTTGCAAACGGATTAAAGTTTGCCTTAAATATATATGAAACTGAATACAAAGAAATAAAAGCGAAAGAAGACGATGAAAATAAAGAGCTAAGAATACAAGAATTATACCGAAAAATATACGAAAAAGATATGAAAAATTATGGACAAAAATACATTAACAAAACACACTTCGACAACGATAACCATAAATCAATAAGGTCAGTTATATTTTTGCATAGATACTTTAGCTCTTCTATTTATGAACTAAATCGTTAGTGACTTATGAAAGCATGATGTGCATAAAAATGCGGCTTTATTTATGCTGTATTATGCAAACGGGTCACAATGATTAATGTTCCAATTCCTAATAAATAGTACAAAAGAATCTTGTAGAAAGCACAAAAGTAAGAAATTTCGCACAAAGCACATTGTTGATAGAAAACATGAATATCATCGACACAATCGTCGTCATCGAAATGCGAACAATAATATCTTGACGGAATCTAATGCAGTAGTGACCATGTATGTAAAATATAAAATTATGATTATTATATCGACTTAAATAATTATATCATCGTCACATTTCCAACAAAATCAAATAACTCTATGCATCGAAAATTATTTTCGATAAAGAAGACGTGCTGCCAAAACATTTATTTGATCTTTTGCATCTACATTTTTAAAATATCATAACTGAAGAGTACAAACAGTTAAGCGTTTGAGAGCATGTATCTTCTTTATTAAAAATACTTATATTTTTAAATAAGAATTAAAGCAATATTATGCAATACAATCGTTATTACGGAATGTATTCGTAATGATAAAAATATATCCGTTACTTGTAATAGCAGTCCACAGCAGATAACGTTAATCGATGAAAAATACAAAAAAGACAATGTGATAGTCCTACAGAATATTTCTTCAAAAACGAGAATCGTAACGAGCACGATATCGACGGACAAGTTGAAAAATAATATTGATCCTCGGCAAGATAATTCTTTAAACGAGAAGATAGATTTCAGCAAAATTGAGGAAATTATTGATAAAAATGGCACCAAGCATAAACCAATGTACGAAAGCAATGATTATCTAAAATACTGTTACATTATAGTAATAATCTACCCGATAGCGAATATTCCCAATAATTTCAGAAATATTAATTATATTTATTCTTCAAACAAATAAATTATAACAAATATTGATGCTAACTGCAGGAAAGCAAACAAAATTATTACAGTAAAAAAGGAAATTTTTTGAAATGTTTTATGTTATTAATGTTTTAGAAAATTCAAGATTCCATCCCAAAAGCAAGAGTACATGAGTGACATCAGTACTGATAAAAAATTGAAGAATAAACAAAATTTTGATTGCATGGTATGTGTATATGCACATACAGTCCTTACATTATACTGTAATATAAAATATATTGCAAATACTTGTCACATAAATTTTACGTTATTGCACAGCAATTTAAATTATAAAAGTAAGCTCTTTTATAGAAGAGCTTACATAGAAAAGACAAAATATAATTATTATTTCCGAAATGACTGCCATATGCTCATATTGTCTTCAAATTAGAGAAGAATATCATTTTATAAATTATAATCTAATATATTAAAAAGTTAATACGTTTTTTAGAAGTACGAAGAAGTTGCAATTACTTCCCAATTGAGCAAAGATTGCACGACAAGGATTAAGAACAAGCAAATGGATTTTTATTATGGTAATTCATACTACTTTATATATGCGTATATTATATAATAAAAATAAATTAATAATTTATTATGTATAGGGAAACTATTTGCAAAGCGAGAGTTGTATGTTGGACTGCAAAAAGGAAATCATCAATTTTTTCATAATACGAAGAATTTTACTTACAACTGTTATGAAAGTTCATCGATTACAAAGAGTACGTCATAAAATTCAATAAAAAATAATACATTCTATTCTTAGATTATTGATTTCATATCACGTATTTTTGTGATTATAAATACTATGAAATAAATTAAATTCTCTTTCTTTTTTCTCATAAAAAAAATTATAATTAATTGTAATATATACTTTTTCAACTATAAAGATTGTTATATTTTTAATTCGTTCTTATATTCAGATATAATTTTTCGTGATAACTTTCTCATAAATAATATGTTTAATTGCAACATTAAAATGTATGAACTTATTGAAAATGTTTAATTAAAAAGATATGATCAGTTATAATAATTATTATAACTGATCATAGCAAGTAAATGCAATTTAATGCTGGAAGAATTTTTAAATTAATTGAATTATTATTCAGATCGAGACAAACCAGTTCTGCTGCGAGTTGTAAACTGGTTTTTTGGTGGTTGCCCAGAAGCATCGAGGCGACACCGAGAACAAATCGATAAAGTCGAAAAGGAAGAAATTTTCGAATCCACCAATACGTGGCTCCTCTAAACGAACGAACTGTATCTGCAGCAGTAAAGTGCAAAACTGTCGATAAACGTAGAGATCTATATTTTTACATTATAGTATCAGTGTGGAGATTATTTTAAAATCATAAATTGTTAACCAATGAATTTTAATTTTTTTATTGCCAATTTTTGCATAACAATTATTATTTTTATTGATATACCCTTTTTATATTGCAAAAATTTAAAGTAAATATTTATATGTTTTTCTCTTTCTTCTTTTCCGTTCTTCTATGGCACAACAAATATTATAACAAAATATAAATATTATAAAGTTATAGCAATATTGCAATATTCATTTCGTGTATGCATTTATACACATATACATCTAATATTATTATTGAATAGAAAATCATGCGTTTAAAAAGTGACATTTTCAGCAACTAATAAGTTTGAAAAAATCTTTGTATGCTGGATCTTCATTCGCCACGAATTCTCGTGAGAAGATAACTATTTAACATATTCTTAGCACTGCATAAATGCTAAATTTGCTTGCATAGCATTTATTAAGAAATTTAATTGATTGATATAATGATTTTTATAATTGTCACTAATCACGATTCAATCAGCATTTGGCGAAATTTCCGCGCTTCTGTGAAACATCGGTTACATCCCGATTTCCCACGCGGCGCGTACGTCTACTCCAATTTTATCCTGATGCGAAGACGGCACGTTCGACGAGCACGAAGCTCGGAGGGACATCGGCCGTTTCGAATCTCGACCTTCGTCTGCGCGCACATCTGTACCGGAAGCGGGTACCGCATGTACGTGGCTTAAGAGCAATAAGGGAACCGCCGGGCCTCGCGAGCCGCCAGAAGAGAATGGAGCAAGACAGTCGTGCTGAGACTAAGAGCCGCGGCGGTTCACGAAGCCGCGAATTCGAACGAAACTAAGTATTGCCATTCACGTGACAGACGCGCGATCAGCCGACCTCTCTTCTTCCGTTTTCTTAATGATTCAATCGCGCGATCCGACAAACAGATTTCCTATGCCCTGTCGCCAGTGTCTGTCTCGCGCGCGTTCGATTTCTTTTGATCTTAGGCCGTAAAATTAATCGTCAATAGGTAATTCCGCGAAACATTCTGTATTTCAAGTTAGAATTGTGCATTCCTATTTATTATTCGGCGAACAGTTTAATCGCGATATGAGTCGATAGAACGTGTTGTAAAGCGGAAAACAATAGCGGAATTGTAGCGGAGGATATTTTAGCTGATTCGGTAAGTGGAAGTACTTTAAATATATATTTCTGTGCAGTGTAGTAGACAGCGTGTATATTTGCTTCTAGGCTGTTGATAAGACGGTCGATATTGCATTTCTATCTTTGATCGATAAAATCATTGTGTGTCGAAAGCATCGCATCAGTCATCATGTCTATTTTTACATAATGCCAAATTTATTAGGAGCATAGAACTAAATTTTTTCAAACGTTAAAAACAATACACTTGTATTTTATAATTTTATAGTTAAATACGTGACAGCTTTTTCATGCTATTAGGTAATGCTATAAATGAAGTGAAAAAAGAGGGAGTAGAAAAATATTCCACAGTTTTGCAAGGAAAGGGAGAAAGTCCCTCGGCGAAAAAGTATATTTACTTGTGTTAAATATTGTCCACTTACATCAGGTGTATTCATTTGCATATTTTTTACGTCATTATAGCGACATCTATTTATATCTACGCTACACGATCGCGGCTACTTTGTTATGCGGTGAAATGTTCCAAGACCCATTAACGTGCATTCATTTAGGAAAGTGTGTCATTATGTACGTACATCGGTGCATACTTAAACACTTTGGAGATTAAGAGAAGAACATTTATGCACCAGTTTCCGCGTTCACAACCATTTGGAGATTTACTAATTGTTTACCGATCATAAATTGAAGACACGTTATGATTAAATAATCGCTGCAGACTTTAATAAACTCGATTAGAAGTGACATCGAATCTACGCCATCGCGCGCCAGATTACACGGAAATTTCGTAACAAACCGCATTATCGTCCCCCATCGCGCCCGGTATTCGTAACCCCAGTACATTGTTAGACAGTGGAAGAAATTCCCGAGATTCCACGGAACATGTGTGTGCAAACCGTTCTATTAATGTACCCGTCACATCTTGCCTTCTCTTCTTATTCGCTCCTCGCTTTGTCTCTCTTTCTCTCGTTTCGCTCTTGCCGCTCCCTTCTCTTTCGAAGTGTAGCGCGACTTATTCAAACACGCGCCCAAAGAGAAACAAGCGGCGGATGCCACGAAGTGCCGTCGAAAAATTCGCTTTTTTTATTGAGCTCTAGAGGAAATGGAACACCTGGTAAAAAGATCGTAGTTCGGATAATTCAAAAAACAACGGAGTACTAATCTCTCGACAAAGTTTAATAATAAATGCAAAACGCGAATTTTTGAAATGTAATTCTTTTAACGCAAGCACGTAAATTTTTTAATTTGTTAATAATTAATGTTGAGAAAGAAGAGAATAATAATTTTTCATAATTAGCAATAATTAATTTTTTAATAATAAGTGTCGTTAACAATAAAAATAATAGTAATTATGATAGTTTACATAAATTGTGTTCTTTTTAAAAAAGTATAATATTTTTCATTCTGTTGTCGTAAAGTTAAAAATTATTGTATTTTTATATTTTTCGAACATATTCTCTCTCTCTCTCTCCCCTCTCTCTCTCCTCCTCTTCCTTGTCCTTAGAGAATAATTTAATATGTCTAAAAACTTGTTAAAATATGATAAAACTTTTAGATATTTATTTATTAGATGATTTCGTATGATAATTTCAATACCATTCCAATATATTTTTTTACAGCGACAAATGCTTATAGTATGACGTCAAATGCGATTAGAGGCATTAGAAGAAAGAAGAGTTCGTTGTGCGAAGTTAAGGTAGCTGTGATAGGAGCTCCAGGAGTCGGCAAAAGCGGTAAATAAATGTATTTCAATAAAAGAAAACTTCTATAATAAATTCATAATAAAATATAATTAATTAGCTTTCTGTATTAATGGAAATATCAATATTAATGTAATAAAATTGTGAAGTACAAAGTTATAAATTAAAATTAATGTTATGAGAGAAAGATATCCAAAGAATATTTTATATCAAGAAATGCAGTCAATTGTTCGTGAAATAGTAAAATTAATAATAAGGATCATACTTTCACAAAAGAATATTAGATTCCATGTAAAAAATTATGCATGCAGTTTCTTATAACTTTCTACTTCATGATTTAACTATAATAAAATTTTCAAACGGTTTTTTTCTGGCTCTGGTCAATACATTAATAGAAGGCGGAAAAAAGTTGATTACGTCAATTAAAAACTATTTTAATAGCAAACTTTTAAAAATACTTTCGCGCAGTTACGCTCTATTCTAATTTTCATGCAAACATAATAGCGAAAAAAGTATCAACGGTCGCGAATCTGTATAAATCGAAAGACTTTAGCGTGTAATTAAGAATAAAATCGATTTTACACGATATTTATACTGCGTGCAAACTCACGCACTATTGTTCTGCGAACAAACGATTGCAAAAAAAGAACAAGGAAAGTAGATATACTTTAACAAGAAATATTCTCATGATACGCGCCGACACTCTAAATTCAAGTGCAAGTACGTGTGCAAGTAGCACGAATCACATTTCGCGTGATGAAGATGCATATATGAAATATGCACTGAGGACCCTGAGAGTAGCTAACCGCGTGTATTTTTGGTAATGGCAAGTGTAAAGGCATAGGTGAATAAATAATTGGTCCGTCCTCGCCAGAAACTGTGCGTCTTTTCTGTTGGCCGCAAAATACGTGGTTGCTATTTATAAAATTTTACTTCAAAATCCGTCTTGAATCATCATCGAACCTCGATTCGTTTTTCCATAACATTTCTCTGTAATAGAAACTTCATATTGAAAAAATATTATTTCTTCTACATTTTGAGCAATGCAAACATCTGAAAAGTATATGGTATCTAATTACTACTTTATCTGCTTTTAATTAAAAATTATCGTTCTGATTTTTTAAATTTAATTTTTATTTTTTATAACAAGATTTTTAACGAAATTCGATGTGTTTGAAAATTTCAAAACTAATTTTTAAACTCTTTTTTTAAATTGGGATGAAATCGAAGAGAAACAAAGTATCCCAACAATCTTGGGCCACAAATTGCCAACGCAAATAAACTGATCGCTAATAAATTTGCTGGCCTTCGAAACATCCACGTGTGCCTGTCGATCAAAAAATTGACCTATATTTTAAACAATATATGTGTATTTCAGGTAGAGATACATACATATCTTACATAAATTTTAATGTCTGTATTCATGGAATTTTTATACATTCGTTCATTTCATATATTTGTACGAATCCATTTATAAAATAATAAATGTATTGTGCTAAATTAATTTGATTTGGGAGCTTTTTTCCGTTTTTCATCTTTTTTTCATTCATTTTTTTCATTCATATCTTTCTTTCGGTGTAAATCGTCCGTTTCATATTGATTTATTAATTTTGCAGAACGTTAGTTTTACGGTCAAAAAAGTTAGACTCGGATTGATTGTCGACATTACTCGAATCGATGTGAACTGGCAGTTCGTGTTCGAAAAGAAAGTGTATTCACCGCACATATTTAAAAATAAAATAAGCTATGGTGGCGTTAATGCATCGCGCAAGGTTTTGTACCGCTCGCCGCGGTAGATTCGAGTTCGCGCGTGGTAAAAATAGTACGGTATATCTCGAAGCGTGTCACTAGATTGTAGCTCTCGTTTCTCCCGATCGAATCGCAATATGTTCAGTTGCAGTATCATATCGAGAAGATCATGTGTCAGCACGAGATCAACCTCTTTTCATCACTTTCACGCAAAACATTGAGACTAATGGAACGGACATCGCTTCAATAGCGCGCCGAAGATTAAGTGCCGTAGAAACAGTGAAACAGTTTCGTCTGGATGTATTTCTATTTGTCAGATTCTCAGCGCAAGTTTTCTTACAACTGAAAACGTTTTTCTTTAGTATCGGAACAACGAGAAAATATTTCAACAATAAAATAATCTTTTCTTCAATTAATAAGTTCCCACGTAAAAAGAATTATAATATAGACATCCATCACACGATTTACATTAAAGTAGAATATAATTATATTAATTAAAAAATAGAGAGAGAGAGAGAGAGAGAGAGGACATAAATATAATATGAATGTATATAATGTATACAAGTTTATAATGCATATACAAACTTTCGCCAGATAGAAACAATCACACAAAAGTTAATTGTATAAATTCAATTATACTTAATTTGTAGTTTATTAAATTCTTTTGCAAAGTGTAGTTAAATTATGTGGTTTATGCTAGATGTGGTTTATAGGGCAATAATTATGATACACCAAGACAGTATTTTCGCGTTGATTTTCTCTTGCATAAATAGATGCGACTGTAACAAACGGACGAAATGTAGATCATCGCGATGCATGCGAATTCGAGACGCGCGACGTTGCGCGAGTGGCCTGTCATTACAGTTTGCCAACTCAATTATACCACGTACAACATAATTATGTCACGCTTGAACTGTATACGCGCGCAGTATATATTTCCATTATGTTTCAGCATTGACAGTGAGATTTCTGACGAGGAGATACATCGGGGAATACGATCATCAATCAGGTGAGATAGGTCTTAGGTCCGTATTTATAGCTACTTGAAATTAGTCTCAAAAGTCTATCGGGTGAGACACTTGGAAGTATCCCGTATCTTGAGACGCGAACGGTTCACATTTAAATTAAAGATTAATTGAGACCGTACTCAGCTAAGAAGCGAAACAATTATTCGTGTGAAACCTGACATCATTCGAATATTGTATGATATGTTACGAGACATTTTCTCTCTCTTTCTCTCTCTATCTATCTCTGGTATTCTATCATCTCCCACTATCGTTCTATCTTCTATTTTCTCTTCCTGGCGGTCTTATGCTTCCCTACGACAATCGAGGTGGAAACGCGCAATAACTGCCGATAAACAGCTATTATACCAATACCGCTACCGATACTGTTCTAATGTGTATCATATTGGTATAACTGTCGATTTATTGGATTTATTAGTTAGCGATTTAACAATGACGTTGCATCGTATAACAATTTATATTGCGCCAAATTATTGTATTATCCAACCGTTGTATACCCAAGTAGGTATCGGCGAAAATAGAATGAGTTTATTATACAATACAGTGAAAAAATCGCGGTAAAAAAAAATGTCAAGTTAAATTGTTGAACACGAGTCTTTCAAACCAAAAACGCATTTACTAAATATCTTATTTATGCGTAGTGTGTTTAGTAAAAAAAAAATGTATAAAATGTTTTAATCAAAATTTGAAACAAGCTCTCTTTCATAAAAATCATTATTCATTCATATCTTCATTATTTATTACTTTTTATCGAATTTACTGTACTTGCAAATATCAGTCTTTTTTTCCTGATAAATATGTTCTCGCTCAGTCACTTTAAGATAAAGAATCTATGAAATACGAGATATTAAAAAGATTTTTAATTTTCCACTTTTTTACAAATATGCGCGCGTAAATACAATGTATTAAATACATATAATTTTTAAATTTTTTATAATATTTCACAGATTCATTACCTCAAGTTAAAATAATAAAATAAATAAACTCACAGATATGATGCACAGCAGCGAAGTTGTAATACGAATGTTATCTGAAAAATACAAATCACAATAGCGTCCAAATAATCAAAAATATTTACTGCATATATCGGATTTTCCTTTTTTTTTAAATAAAAATATTTAACAAAATAACTATATATTTATATATATAATAATATTTATGATTTACATTGGTAGTATGAAAATAAATTATTTTTAGAATTTTCAAAAAATATATTTGTAAAAGTAATCCTTTTTAAAAATTATAGTTATTTTGTTAAATATTTCTAATATATATATATATATGTTAAATGAATGAACTTCTATGATCTTCATTGAATGTTGCTATTCTGGAAATACAATTTTCTTTTTTATTGCAGCTAGTCGTTCATTCTTGTTCGTTTGTGCTCGCTGTCGGAATTGAATTTAAGGCACTTATATAACATGCGACTATCGCGGAAACAAATGATTAATTACATAAAAAAGTAATAAATACAATAAATTAATTATTACTCACCTATACCTATACGCCGCGGTTGCTCCGCCGATGCTCGACGCCTCCCGGCCTGCTCGGCCTGCTCCAGCTGCTCCTCCTCTCACGTCCCCTTTCCATTGTTTTCTCATAGCATTCACACAATATTCACTCGCGAAACATTACGATTAGTGATTATATATTAAAAACAATCGCGAGATACTTTATACGGCACTCCCGAATCCCGATTTAATTAGCTGAACTCGCTCGCGAAAACATGGTTAGAATCACGTGATGTTTATCAAAATACGATACTCGCACGAAACTTTGCACAGCACTCCCGTTCATCGGGACGCACGTATTACGATTTACGCACGAGGCGTACTGTTACGTTTCGAGGAATAACATGTAAACACTAACGTGAACCACGAGAGTGGATGCTATGATACGCTTGATATCCGCGATGTCGCGCAAAGTAAACAAGTGGACAAGCCTAAAATGGCGGAACTAATTCGTAAAAAAAACGCTCGGACAACTTCACGGGGCTCTCCGCTGCGACAACACTGCAGCGTACTGCGGTATGCTTGTTGCACTCTTTCGTGCACCTCTAGTGTTGTAAAATGTAAATAATAAATACTTGCGCACTTACCGCTGATTATTGCCTCATATTATAACATAAGTAAATCAACGTACATAAAAAGTTGAAGTCAAAATTAAAGTTAAAAACAACTGTCTGCGAAATTGATATCTGCGAAAAGTATTATCGACTGTTAGCACGTCGTGGATTTCCATCAAACATTTATATATACTACATGTCTCGTAATACGCAATTTAATAGAGCTCCGACATGCAAGTACCGAATTTCTGTTAAGCGGTTGATAAATATTAAAGTACGACACATTAATTATGTTTGTAGTTACTGAATGATTAAACGTATTGCGGCGCTGCTCGATTTGAAGTCCGTTCCATTGTCGGCGTTTTGTTAATGACTGAAAACCTCGAAGATTGCATCGACAACTTTATCTCGATACCGCAAAATACTATATATATGCGAGTCAATTTAATATCAATTTAATTTATGACCCATCGCATATTGTAGTCTATACAATAGTGACGAATAGTTTATACATAATCAAAATTCGAAATATATTCAAAATATGTAAATGCGAAATACGCGTATATAATATTAATAATTAATCGGTACATCACAGAGTTCAATTACGTAATTATTCTATGCGGTGAGTCATGTATTTAATGTATTATATCCTATCTCTAATCATTTACAAAGAATGATTTTTTCTTAATGCTTGTCGCTTAATTGTCGAGAAGTAATCAAAACAAGCTACTCGCGGCACTACCGTTCGCTCGAGCGCTGCCGTGCGAATGGCAACACAATGACCGGCACGGCGTACGTGGGTCGCAGGGGTCGCGGGGGTCGCAGCGCCCGTGCGCGACATTGTGTTGGATATGTATAATACACAGCGGCACACACGTTGGATTTACGCCGCAAAAGTGCGACACGCGCCAGGCATTGTATGTCGGTTAGCTCGTCCGTCGTTACGAAATATTTAAAGTATTTACAAAATAAATGTATGTCGTATATGTTGCTCCTTACATTTTCAATTCCATTTATTATCGCGATGTTTTCCTCATTCTTGAAACTGTATGAAAATTATACCGACTTTTCTTCGATATTCGCGGAAAGCTACGCAAATCAGTTTGACGACTAATTAAGATTCATCGTCTGAAAATGTAAAATCAAAATTTAATATCGAAACATGCAATATAGTTTGAACTGATAAATGTGAAATATATTGTTAATAATAAATCGATTTATCAGCTTTCTATTAGTGAGTTATTCGATTCAACGTATTGATTTTATTCCGCGCTTTTAATTCAGGTGTATCTGACTGGTATATTTATATCTGACTCGATGAAAAATGTAAAACATAAATGCGAAAGATATTCGAATGCAAAAATTGCTAAGAAAATAATCCACAAATAAATGACACAATCTTACAATTTAAAATAATCTAAACTAATTCTGTCTATAATTTTAATTGCAAAGGAACAAACGTTGGGAAACGCGCGTCAAATATTCGATCTTATACGTTTACGAAAAGTTAATCGCGAAAATTAATTACGCGGACCAATAATAGTTAATCAATCGTAAGAAATAATCAATCGTATTTTGGGATGAAATAACGGGACGATATACGGAGTGACTCGCACTGTTCATTCGTCGCGCAAATAATAATACGAGTACAATTCTTCACGTGGCGACAGTGTCCGACTTTGTGCAAACGTACACTGCAGCACGTTGGACCTGCGCTGCAAACAAACGTTGTATATAATGTATATCAATCAATTCATTATTGTTACAAAATATTTAGAGTATTAAAATGAATGTATGTTCCTAATGTTGCAAAAATCGATTCAATGAATAAGTCAGTGCGCTTCGTTTTGCGCTTCGTTTTACACAGACTCGTTAATAACATCATAAAAATAACATAACTATACGAATAAATTAATTCTCGATGTTTATCTGTTAAATTGTGTCGCATCTTGTAAGAGTAATTTTAGTTGAGTTTTCTCAGTAGAAAAGTGATTACAAAGATAGATTGTAATGTAACGCTGATATTTGCCGCTGATTTTTTTGTTAATTCGTGTACCTTACAAAACTGGCGTATAATAAACTACGCGCGCGTGTGCGGTAAAGTATATAATAGAATAACGCGTCAGTTTGAAAAATTGCCAGCAACTGTAATCCGCTTCTAAGGCTGCGTATATTCTCCCTCTGCATACCTCAGTCCGTTCTAAATTTATCGAAGACGAATTTGACACTAGACAGGACGGGTACTAATGCGAGGTTGATACTCGAACAAAACTTTTCGTTTTGCACAAATACAGACGCGGGGTCGTAGACAGGAGAAAAGCACGTGCCGTGTGTTAGCGTTTCAAAGTAAATCCAATTCGAGAAATTGCTTAATGAGATATGAAATTTCTGTTTCTGAACGTTCTGTTACACCTTAAATATTTGCGTGGTAAAAAATTACAGACAATATATAGTGTTGGATTATTTTCACTCATTCAGAACGCAGAGATTTCTTTCTTTGCGATATAAGAAAAGATAGAAAAATACATAGAAATCATATATTTATATCATGGTAAATGCAAATAATTCATTTTCAATTAGTTTTCTTTGAACCATCATGGACAACTCTGCCAACAATTATCGTGTCTTATTCGGAGACTTTTAAAAACATCTCTCAAAATGCATTATAAAGAGGGAAAATGATATTTTATCAATTGATCAATTTGATAAATTAATGAACAAAACGAGAAGTAAAAAAATAATATAAAAATATTTTATATATTACCCTTCTATTTTTGCATTTAGATTAGTTTTCATTTTGTGTTTGAATGACAATCGTACTCGCGTGGAATTTCTAATAAATCGACAATTGACAATTACACAAGCGATATTGATTGTAAATTAAGGAAAAATTGTATCAAATTGATTCTATATGAACACTTATAAATATAACTTTTTAAAGAGAATCTAAGAAAAAAGAAATTGAAATTTTTTAAAGGATTACGTTGTTATAAGGTGTCGCAAGTAATGAAATCGTGATCTTATTTTAACGCAAAATTTTATATTAGTGCTATAAATAATATTTATTATATATGTAGGTATATATTAAGAGCGAGTCTTATTTTAATTTCTAGAAACTAGATACAAGCATGAGGTGCTAGTAGATGGAGAGCCAATTCTTTTTGAGATTTTAGACACATGTCCGAAGGTAATTTTTGTATTTTATAAAATCTCACAAATTATATATTAATCTACAAATAGTTTCTCTCGCACATGTAATATTTTAACATTTTAGAGTGAAGATGAGCTACCATCTATGGAAACTTTACAATGGGCGGACGGTTTGCTGTTGGTCTATTCGATAACAGACAGAAACTCTTTTAATTTTGTCAGAAAGGCAAAAGAAGCTCTCGCAGTAGCCGATCCCGAAGCTGCGATGCCCCTTGCCCTTGTTGGAAACAAAGCTGATATGGTTCATTTGCGACAAGTCAGTGCTGAGGAGGGAGAGATATTAGCGAAGGATTTCGAATGCTGGTTTAGCGAAATAACTGCAGCTGAACAGGTAGAATTGCAAAAATTTGTAGTAATTTATTAGTTTATTCACGGAGATTTTAGATATTTAGATTCTATTATATGTATGAATAGCTTTTTTAAATAGTTAAACAACTTGTATAGGTTGCTCAGGTTGCGGAATCTTTCCACGAATTATGCAGAGAGGTTCTCGCAGCTAGAAGAAGAAACAAACAATCATTGCTGGACAGAATGCTCGGCGGTAAAGCGACCCGTGCTTATTCACGAGGAAAGAGCGACTCTGCTTTACCGAAGGATTAATATTGCTATTCGAAGTAAATGCTTATTACAATACAAGAAGAAAGGAATCTTTCAGAATAAAAAATTGAAATGTAAGAAAAAAAATAGGACATTCAAAGAAATACGATTGTTTATTTATACAATGAGAGTAAGGCGAAGCAACAAATGCCAAAGAAAATGTCAGTTTTTAATTTATAGAATGTAATAAGATTTACATATCACACAAATAGATATAAAAATTTTTATAATATATCTTCGTGATATAAGAACTACTTAAATCATAACTTATGACTTCAAAATGTATTAGAAAGTTTAGTTGAAGGAAAAATGTAATATAGAAAGATGAATTGTTTTTAATATAGTTTTGTATTTTCCTTATACCACAAAAAAATAGTAATATATTTTGTAATTTTTCTACTGTTCCACGAAATTAAGCAGTTTCTTAGACCTAAAAAGGCTGATTGCGAGTGTGTGTACAACATGTATAGTTTATATAAGTGTTCATGTAAGTGTTGCAACTCACACAATTCTATATTTATTTTGTACTTACAATGTGAAACGACAATAAATGTTTTACTTATTTATTATATGCCTAAAATAAATTATAGCTACAATTGTTAAACAAATAATTTACTTTAGTTATGGTGCAAAGGAAGTTGCGTAGTAGTAATTCGCGCGCGCAAAGAAAATGAAAGTATCCAAGAATGCTTTTTACATTCATAATTTACTTTTACTTAGAACAATAATTATTTACAAAATAAATTTAATAATATTTCCATATATCTTATTTACATTCAATTATTCTATAATTTTTTAATGTAAAAAGTTTACTTAGTACGACAGGTTGATCATGAAATTCTTACTTAATCATCGTATGTTTCTAAAACATCTGCCAGATGTTCATTATCTCTTGGTTTCTTAAATTGTTTCCTCCTATTAACGGGTTTCTTTCGTTTGATTGGTGCTGGCTTCTTAAGCCCATGATCCTGCATTGACCTAATACCTTGTTTCTCAAGATATTCGTCTATTTTTTGATCGTCCATAGCATCTACTGCAACAGCTCGCCATAACTTTTGAAATTCCTCATCAATGGGAAACTGAGCTGTTTTATCATTATAAAAGATAATCTTCTTCTTATCAAGCGGTCGTGTAATATACAATATCTCATTTTGTAAATTCTGAAATTTATAATAAATATCAGCATTTTTCAAATATTGCAACCAGAAATAAATTTCTACATATTATAGACTTACTTTCAAATGTTTATCACAATGCGGCAAACTCTCCTGTATATCTTCCAATAAAATACCACCGAGACCTTTCAAATCGTGTTGTTTTAAAAGTCTCAATAAAGACTTTTTATCTTTAATTTTATACATAGGTTTAAAGACAAATCTACCCTCGGTTGCTTCAATTTTAGGATTTTGTACTAAAGCTTCAGTCTGTAGCCATTGCTTGACCTGATAGATAGAAGAAATGAATAGCTTTCTTCGATAAGAAATAGAAATATGAAATAGAAATATACTAGAAAACAGTACCTTTGATCCGACGTCTAATTGATTTGTTTCGTCCAAAATTTCTTCTAATGTCAACGGATGGTCGTCTCCTTCTTGATGCCTTGCCTTCATGTGTTTTACTATCTTTGCTAACACGCCAAATTTATATTGCGTACTACCAGTCATGGTCTTATAGTTGACCATGTCCAATTTCGGTCCTGTGGATACCGACGATATTTTAGGTTTCTTCTTTGGTGGTTCATCTTTCGTAGCTTCCTTCTCCTGCTTCTTTTTGTCAATTCTGTAACATTATCAGAAATATATTCTCGCATGAATAATCCAAATATTGTGATAAACATTATGAATACAATTCTAAAATTGAAATAGATTATATGGACTATACAGACTACTGTGGGTATTTTCGATTTAACAACACAAATTGATACAAGCGCCATTTTATCTTTGTTGTTACTGGTGGATGTTGATAAAAGACAGAATTACGTTTGTGTCAACTTGTGTCGCTAAATGGAAAGCACCCTATAGATTATATTACAATATATTAATTTATAGGTTAGGTGCTCAGATTTGATAGGTACAAGATTTAATAAATAAAACAAAACTGTCTACACAAAACTAAATGCCTACGTAAATGCTACGTAAATGCTGTAAGAATGTTAATCCTTCTTAAAATTTTTTAAATTCATGTGCTACATATTTTGGTAAGATAAGAAATAACAGACAGGTAAGAAAGTATTGTAATTACTCACATTGGTGTGGTCAGAGCACGTTTTTTAAAGAGCTCTCGCTCTCTGAGTAGAGCCGGATCCATTTTATTATAAATTTCAATCGTATCCACGCTACGGATTTCTTTATTTCGTTATTCAACGTATCGCGTTTGACATACGCTCGTATGCCTCCTATTTTATAACAAAATCTAACCCTAACCTCTCACCAAGCGCCGTGCCAGATCTGACCAGATCTCGAGTATCTCGACTTCAGCCAGTCGATCGATCGATCTCGAATTGCGAGCTACTGCGCAAGCATGGCCACATTTGAAGCTGCGCGTCCATGGATCGTATAACTCGACTGCATAAAACAAATACGTTGCGTATACACGATTTTTACTACTCTCTGAGAACGGATCGCAGGCATTATTGTTTATTAAATGATATTTACTGCTTCATACAATCGAAACAATAGAACATGCGCGAACGTATACATACAGAGAAACAAATCATATGCAGTCTAATATACAGAATGTTATATTTTCGCATTTTTTGTCTGTCTATATATAGCTATTAATTTTAATCCTTTAACTGCAATGCACAGTTTTCAATTGAAAACCGTTCGCCTTAGGGGAACATTGCAAACGATTTTTTCATTGAAAATCGAACGTACATATTTCACAAATAAAAGGCTATTTTTTCAGAGATAGGGTAACTGTCCCTATATTAGTGTGCCCTGTATCTATTAGTGTGCTTTTATATTTAAATAAGTCATAAAAATAAACTGGTACAAATAAATAGACAAAGTATTTTTTTTCTATAAAG